ACTCGAGGGGGTCTGAAGTTGGGACACCAAAGCCACCGAGAAACCACCTCCAGCATGGCTCAATTTGTTCACAATCACCTAAGAAGTCGATGTCCGAGGTGCGTTAGGCCCCCCTCAGCAACAATTTGGTTGAATCATGTCCTCGTCGCTAGAATACGTTTGGGCAGATGCTGTGGAATGCCCTCCTTCGATCATATTGTTTGACTTCGCCTCTACCCGTTTTACAAAGCAGTACCAATTTGGCACGACCCAGCCCAAGACTGAAATCAGGTGATCGAAGGTGGCCCTGCGTGGCCCTGCGTGGCCCTGCGTGGCTATCGGCATCTCAGACGGATGCCGCACCCCGGTTCGTTGACCCCTTTTTCTTCGCCCTCGAGGGGGTGGGCACCGGGTATTTTGGATGCCGGATGTGGGGATGATGTGCTTGTGCCGCACGTCTGAGGCTTGGGATGGATGATGTGGAGATTGAGAACTTGTTGGATGGCATCATGCAACCTGCCTGCTTTGTCGAGTCTCACCCGTACGCCCCAGCTGGGTGAGAGGAGGAGACTCTGCTCTTGATCCCCCAGCCTCAGAGTGTCGTACTGGTGCATGGCCCTGGGTCGGTCCAACATTTGGCCAGTTTGGCAGGGGACGCATGTAGGTGCCGAAGGTCGTCCCACATTCGTCACAAAACGGTGCGACGGTGCTTGTGGGAAGCATATACGAAGGGATCAGCAATGATGGGCAACCTGGTGTGTCAAGCATGTCAGCATCATCCAAAATGGTGCAACTGTTCATTTCCTTTGTCGCGCGATGGGGTCCCCCTGGCCGTGCGCCACATACTGTATCCCGTCTTGGCTCCGACCTTCTGTTCTCAAAGGAAAGTCGTCTTCCAAGGGATCATCTCCACTTCCAGTTCCTCCATGTTAGTGAGTGAGTCAGAGTGTAAGAAAGATGGTGCTTTTGAGCTTCACTGTTCGATCTCTTCGCTCGGGGCTGCAGAAACATCTCCCAACGGCAGCTTCACCCGAGGGGCATCTTCTTCGCGGGTTTTCCCCATCGGGTAAGTCGTTTTTCCTTTTTCTCAGGCACAAGGTGGAGGATCTTCGAGATCAACTGCGGAAGAGCGCCAGCTTCACCTTGCCCAAGCCGAGGGCTGACGAAGAAGGCAAGCGCCACAGCCGGTTGAGGGAGCTGAAGACGCACCTAGAGGGTGTGGACACCTTGGAGGAGACACGTGAAGAGCGGGAGAGTGTGCAGAGTGCCTCAGACGCAGCTGAAAAGAAACTTTATGAGGTTTTATCAGGTCTTTACAGATCAGGCACACCTCGGGATTCGGGTGTTCTCTCCGTTCTCGCTGCGCTCTCCACCTCTGTTCGCCCAGCAAGGCATCCTGATGCGCATGGACAGCGCCAAGAACGCACCTGGTGACGCTCGTGCGCCTGGTGACGAAGTTCCACCCCCCGCCACCGCCAGCACAGCGGCGGCTCCCGCCGTCGAATGGCATCCGACGGCGCCCAGTGGCCCGCGGGGGCTGTTGAGACGTCCCATGGTGAGAGGGGTGCGGAGGTCCGATGCCAGCGAGGAGGAGCTCGATTTACAGGCGGGGTTGGGTTTGGGGGGTGGGGGTGGAGGGCGCTGGGGCTCCTGATTTGGGTCAGCGGCCGGCGTTTTGGCATGAGGATCATGAGGAATATAGGGAGTTTCTGTTGGAGGGGCCTTGGGCGAGCGTGCTATTTCCAAGGTCTCGCCCTCGAGCTCCAAAAGAGAGCAAAGCCCGGTGACCTCACCGAAGAAGGAGCTGACATGGCAGCCGCAGCCGCAAACGATGGAGTTGGTGGCTTGGATGTGCAGGACAGTCGGCCGGGTTTCTCCCGTGCAAGGAGACCTCCCAAGGTACCTGACATTGAAATGAGGGAGTTTTGGTAGGAAGCGGGCCATCCATGGGAGTTGCCTACAGAGCAGAAGGGCATAGTTTAAAGTCAGGGTTCAACCTTTTTCATCCTTTTTCTGTACGTTCAAGTCGATTGTGACGCTGTAGGCCCATTAACTTATAACTTATAACCATTAACTTAGTTTTTTCATACAGTAATTGGATTCCTATCAGTCCTCTCAGTCAAACCGTTTTGGAACTTCCGCCAACCAACATGGAATGTGAGCCCCCATCATGTGAAGAAGGACGCAGCTCTTCCATTGCGTTTCTGCGCCGTTGCCAGGTGGGCTTCCCGGATGCTGCGGGATTCCTGGAGGTCTCCAAACGCTCAGTGCTCTATGCTGCAATGACCACCTTCCCTTACATGCAGCCACGCGACCTAACAATTTCGGCTGCGAAGTGGAGCCGCGTTCTTTCTTTCTTTCTTTCTTGCTTGCTTGCTTGCTTGCTTGCTTGCGGCGCAAGTATTTTGGGGCACGGAACGTGTGGAAGTGTCGAATTCGGAGTTGTCTCCAGAAGGTCGACATAGGATGTTCAGATTTGATCCAATTGGAGGAGTCCTCAATCTGATGAAAGTGTAGCTCGTTAACAGCTGCCCCCCCGGCAGAGAATTGACCCCTGGAAGACCCTTTTCCTGTACAACCCAGTGGTTTTGGGGTCCACCTCCTCAGCCGATGTCGCCCAGGCGCTTTCCGGCCGTGCTGGCGCAGCAGCAGGCGCCGCCCGAGCTCCGACAGGCGCCCGCGGCGTCCGCGCGCGAAACGCGCGGGCGAGCTCCGCGCCCGCCAGGCGGTCGCCCGGGTGAGGGACACCCGAAGTGAGTCCGAAGCAATTTCCAATCCGCAGGAGCCTGCTTTTTTTTTTTCCGGTGGTCCGAGGTTCAGGACTGGCCGAGGTTCAGGACTGCCAGGGGGGTTTCTTTGGAAGTGAAGGGCTCAAGGTGCATTTGGTGACCCAGACGGGACACGCTTCTAGAGTCGACGAAGCACCTTTGCTGTGATCGTCCCAGAAATCAGTCCTTGCAGCCTTGGTGGTGCAGTCCTGGCCCAATCAGTCCAAGTGTGTTGGCGGCCACCCCCTCAGCTGACACTGATCGGACTGTGAGGTCTCCGACATGGGCTCCTTGCTGCCGCTGTTGGTGGTGCCCAGGCCCTTGAGTCCCGCGCGGCGGCAGCGGCACAGCAGTTGCAGAGCCAAGTGGCTCAGCTGAAGGCTGTGGCCTTGGGGAAGAGGTGAGGCAAGTCCTTCAGGATGTGGAAAGATAGTACATCGGCTTTAACCAGCTATGGACTCTTGGGATGGATACCTGTAAGTGGAGGGCAAGCCGAGCGAGCATATTGCTATGTGCATCACGCCCGCTCTTGTTCCGTTGGATGGAGATGCCCCCATCAGGTGGAGGTTTGAGAACAGGACATGTACAGGAAACCGGCTTGGTCAAGTGCACAGCAGTCCACTTTTTTCAAGACAGGCCACATCGACACTTTCCAGATGTTCGAACATATCCTATAGGCATTAGTGGAGCTTCCTGACGATAGAAAAAACGGCTTTGTCCAATGTGGAAGGCACCAATTGTTGTCATAGCCGCATAGCCATGTAGTCGCATGTGCACATGTTCGCGTGTTCTGTTCACGTTTTCGACGGCCTAATGTAGCCTCAAGAGTGGTTCATTTCAGTGAAAAGGATGTCCTTTTCGACCAACACATGGTTTTGTTTCGAGTCGCGCACTCACACCAGGCTGAAACGGTTATTGTCAGGCAGGCCAGGTTTTGGACTAGGAGCCAACTATATGTCGTGGGGCGGGCACATGAAACTGCAAACCACAACCGTTTCAGTTGTAAAAACATTTCGTCAAACATGCAACCTTCGATATGCCTGGTTGGTAGCGGATCCGTGGAACCTAATGGTTGATCCACAACCATGTATCCTTCGCCCAAAATTGTGCAATCAAAAAATCGGATGCCAAATGGCAACACTTTGATTCCGGATCATTGTTGGGTGAACCCAGTACAAAACTAAGCCCGGTGAAGTAGTGTGGTTGACAGTGGACCTTGTGTTTTTCAGCGCAGCCGATGCCACGTGCCAAGACGTTGTGAAATGTCCGAGCACAACTGGCCACATGACAAATGAACATACCCAAAAACTTGATCTTGGAGAACTCATGGATTCTGGATGGGAAAGAACATCTGGTTCCCTGTCATGCATTCAATAACAGGATGGGAGAATTTTGTTTGATCCTTCAGAGAAGGGTGGATGTGGGCGCTGAGGTGACGCACTTTTTCGCAAAACAACATCTTGATTCTTTGAAGCATCATGCGTGCTGGCACAATCATGTCCAAGACATGATCTTGTACATATGCATCAGGCATCATCAGGCTTTCAAATTTGGTGCGCTGCCAGATTTGTCTGGTTGCCTTTTATGGAGATGGAGGTCTCAATCTTGGATTTTCGAGGAAGTGGCGCGATGTCGCCTTCGACTAGCGCGCTCCGTGCCTCCGAATGGAGCGCGGAAAAGAGCGATGAGACGATGGGCCCTCAGGCAGAGATTGGAAAGACGTCCGCCAGTGAAGTTTCGAACGCTTGAGGAAGATGAGGTTTATCCATCTTGAGAACATCCGAATCTTGGACGTAGGGACGCTATGCGGGGAGTGTGGACCAATGCAACATTCATGGGATGCAGAGATGGGCACCATCTGAACCTGAGTGATTTCTAACCCAACAGTTTACTTCTGGATCATTCCATCCAACTTCTGATCCGACTTGACATCCACATGGCAATATGATTTTATGATTTCCAACTTCTGAAGATTCGAAGATTCTATATCAATATCATCTGTAAAGTATGTATTCTGCCCTCTTGCTGGCAAAGCCGGGCAGAATCCTCTGGATGCCCCACCATCAAACTTCTGAAGATAGAGGGGAGTCCAACCACATCTTTGTCAAGTATGTAGTACAAGATCCACGGCCAAGGACGCCCAATTCCATATGTAAAAGATCAGAAGACCGCTGGATGCTCCATCCCCACCGACTCGACTCTCAGACCCGACCCGGGACGCGACCCCGGGACGCGACCGATCTCCATCGCCAGGTCTCCGCTCTTTGCCTATGTGCCGCACCGAGCCGAAGGGGGCGACGCTTCGCGCGATCCGCGAGTGCGCAGGTCTCGGCAGGTGCGCGGTGCGCGGAGCGGACCCAACAAGATCCAAGTTCCAAGGTGAAACACCAGGAAGTCCAAGCAAGCCATTCAAGTTCGTGCCAAGACTCAAAACATCCATGTGCGCGAAGTGAAGCAAGAGTCCACATTTGCCCCCTTGATAGTCTTGGATGGGAAGGCTTGTCTATCGCAAGCCCCGTTTTTCATGAGGTTCCAGCTGAGTTTTTGCCGGACTATGTCTTTGTGGGCTGAGGCCACCTTGCGCTGTGCCATCGCTCGGTTCCTGGAAGGCCTTTGCATCTTTGGAGTTCCCACCCGAAGTGACGTGGGGAACAACGCGGTTTCTGCCCGATGCGTTTCGTTTGGGGATGAACATTCAACGGAAGTGATGGGAATGATCTGACATGACCATTTAGACCTTGAAGCTGTCCTCTCTTGAAAGCCAAGTGGAGCCAGGCCTTCCGCAGTATCCTCTGAACTTCTACTTCCTTCAGGGGAGTGAAAGTGTGCCCTACAAGAAGGCGCTTGCTGTGTGAGGGTTGGCGCGCAGGTCGGCCACAAAGAGCAACAAATCACGCGAGACATGCGTCCTCAACATTGATGCGTCCTAGATGGAGTACAAAACGTTCCAAACATAACTTGTTGGCAAGGTAACTGGTTGACAAACTTCGAAGAGAGGAAACCTTTAGCATAAGAATGTGCACGCACACACACAAATATATATATATATATATACACCAGCACCTTCCAACAGGTCTCCTCTGGAGGCTTTGGTAGACTTAAAAGGCGCAGGTGGTGACTTGTTGGAAGGTGCTGGTATGTATATGTATATATTATTTACTGTATATATATATGTATAACACTAAAACTATAACAGTATATGCATATATCTATTTATTTATATATGTATATAATGCACATATCATTGCTATAACTGTTTGACATTTGACATGTTCCCTTTCGTCAGAGCTGTACCGTTGATCCTGCCAGCGCGTTCCGTGGCTTGCAAACAAAGGGCTTGTTGCGCTGGGCAGCAGGAGAGCTAGCTAAACTGAGCATGGCTCCATTGAGTTGGCTCCAATAAGGGGTGTGCATGGCTCCATTGAAGGCCCTCCCAGCGCGTAGGTTTTGGGTTGATCCTTTAGTGTCGTGCATGTGATGCATCATCCTCAGTTGGAGACCCCATGGGGCTCCAACTGGCAGAGCCTCATGCAGCTTCGACTTGCGGCTAGGAAGGAGAATGGGATTCGACTTAGAGCCCGTGGCATCCTCGAGATAGCGAGACATCGGAGTTCTTCCTTCAGGTAGTGCTGCCCACAAAAAGCTTTTGCTGTTTGGGGTGTGTGGTTGTGATCTTTGGTAGGGTACTTAGACAATTTGGCACATGATCTGTGTGGAATCTCCCAATGGACGGGTACAAATTGACAAAGACACATGAACATGCAGGCGGTGAGCTTCCGTGCCGCGGCCTTGCTGCCACAGGATCATGTGCCTGGGCGTCCAAGAACAATTTTGGCAAACCTCCCACCTGGTCTTACACTTTGCTCCTGTGGCGATCTCTGTCACCGCCCTGTCCAGGGGTCCTTCGCCAGTCTGTGATTCGGGATGATGAAATGGACACACCAAGGGCCGAGGATGTGCATCACAAGTCACCCGGTGAATCGGTGGAATCGGTAGTCACGTGGTCGACCGCGGGGTCGGGGTCACGTTAGGTTCGACTCGACTCGACTTCCAGAGCCTCCTTTCATAAAAGAATATACATCATGGAACAAGAACTTCACAATACAGAAAGAGAGCGGCCCAAAGTTCCCCGAAGGAAAGTAAAGACACATATTGTAAAATGGTGAGCGGAGGATCAACAGCAACTTGTAAAGGCAACTGTCACAACTCAACCAACGGGGATCAAAGAACTCCGTCACGATCAAAAGCAAGCGGTGCGCTCACTTTTCCATTGCGCAACCGTCGGGGGCTCGAATGAGCCTGAGTCAAGGGCCCTTGTGCCAAAATGGTCACACGAGAGGGCCGCCATCTCATATCATGATATGCATGTTCCAATGCATACAAATTCACACGCCCTCATGGCGGTGCGAAGATGGGACCATGCTGTCAGCGGCACTGTTCAGTCACGCAGCTCTCGGCTGAATCCGTACTTCTCAGCAAGAGCTTCAAAATCAGGCTTCTTCCATTTCACCTTTTCAAGGTACATGGCAAAGTCCACGGCCTTGGCAATCTTGGATGGCACTTTTCCACCAGTACCATACTTTGACAAAATGAACTGGAGGTACTGACGCATGTCTTCTCCTTTCTTCGAATTCGTGCGGGCCGTCATGATCATTTGATCATACGTGAGGCTTTCAGCCTTCACCTTGTCCATACGACAGATGGTCTGTCCCCATTTCTCTACGGTGCTGATTCCTTCAGGCAAGGGAACCAAGCGATCGGTCACATTGGCCGCTGGGAACAAATTCACCTTTCCAGCTTCATATCCCTTCGGGCTCACAGCAAGGCGCTCCGGTGTCATGGTTGAACCGGTAGGCTCATTGGCATTCAAGAGCTCCCACGGATTCGAGGCCTGAGAGGTCTCATCGGCATCCATGCGTCGCTTCGCAGCATCAGTCATGGTGGACATGGAGGCATCCACAATGACCTGGGCTCCCACAACATTTGGTCGGAGATCTGGACGAATCTTCACCCAGTCGTTCACACGCTGGAGCAACTGTGCACTTTGTCCGAAGCGGACAGCTCGATGGAGGAGGCTGGCACACATGCTAAGGTCCTGATCCGTCAGTGGTGACCGGATGTGGTATTCTTCATCATCGGTCTTTGCTGCTTTCGACATGATCCTGCGGGACTGAATGGGCGACACTTCACGGTCGCGCGCTCCTTGGAGCAAAAAGGCTGTGCAAAATTCGGTTTAACCGATGCGGCACAAGAAAAATGAGAAAAACAACCAGGACGACTCCTCAGCAACGAACTGGTTCGAGGTGGCTGGCAATGGATGGTTTCTCAACCTAACTAACAAATTCTTTTTAAGTTTCACCAAGCAAATGTTGGATTCACTTCACAACATGCATGCATGGGCCCTAGTGCTCATCTAGTTGACGTTTCTCTGCTTCTGCAGCTCTAGCCTTGGCTTTTTCTTTCTTACCTGACTCTACTCCGGTGTGGATGGTGTATTTCCAAGTGTCAACGAGTTTATAGAAAGGTCCTGTGTCGGCTCGTAGTTTAGTCAACACGTCTGCACACATGAAAATATTACTAGTCCAAAAGACCATGATGTTCTGCAAGGACATGCTTTCCTTAGCGATGGCATAGTCGATCTGAAGTCTCTTCTCTACGCTAATAGTAGGAGAGCTACACGATTTTGTGACTGCATCGAAGAAACCCTTGCTATCAACAACGAGGCATGCTGTCTTTTCTGGGACTCGTTCTCGGAAGGTTCGAGGCGATTGGCCTTCTAGGATCTCAGCAAGCAGAGATTGAATCCACTCAATCGCATCAAGTCCATTCTGACCGGACATGGTTTCTGCTGCTACTGAGGAACGAACTACTCGTCGTAACTTCTTAGAACTCCAATCTATTATCCATACAGGGGATTCCTTGTTCTTCATGATGTCTTTGGTCGTAAGACATAGGATGTATCCACCTTGACTTTCACCGTTAGCTCTAGTACACCAGCCAGCATCAGCAATACACACGATATGCCAATCTTTTACTGGAACGTGGCTAGGGAATTTCAAACAGATTTTTCTAGTTTTCATTTCCCTCACGGCTTTGTTGTACAAGTGGACGTGTTCAACTTTCCCCTTATCCTGAACCCCTTGAAGATACGAAGCCAGGAATGCCTGTTCTGGACGTGTCGAGTTCGACACCCAGGCTAACTGACCGGCGCAAGTTCTAAGGATAGAAGGATCTGTAAGGGACGTTGAAGCGTTTCCCAAAGTCTTCGTTTCAACATGTTCCAAATTCTCGATGTAATTTTCTTGTCCTACTTCAATTTTCATCGTATTTGGATTTTGTCGAATCTCTACTCCTGTATATCTTATTGTGAAAGTACGATAGTCACCGAACGGCAATTTCTTTCGGAGTCGGTCCAAGGCTTGGTCCATTTCCTTGCAACCTCCACCTAGTAGGTCATCTACGTGTACTCCACATATGCCCTTCAAAGTGTTATCGGACTTACTTCTCAACATAAACAAACATGGATCCAACTGGCTCTGGGTTAGCCCTGCTTCCTTAAGTTCCCTAGTCACGCAGGAAAACCAGGCACGTGGTGCCTCAGCCAGGCCGTAGGCAGCCTTCTCAAGACGAAACAGGTCATCTGGACTCAAGTTCATCCATTGTTTGATCTCTGCTGGAGGTCGAAAGTAAATGTTTCTGCAAGATTCATCACCTGACAAAAACGCTGTTTTTATGTCGGCTCCCCATAGCTTCCACTTGGATGCTGAACAAATGGATAAAACAAGGTGCTTTGTTTCCTTACGCAAAGTTGGACTGTCTGTTGCTACTTTTCCTAGGTCCGGGTCCTGCCATCCTACCAAAACTAGACGTGCTTTTGGAGTTTTGGAAGTGATATCAGGATCGGATGACTTTTTCCATACCAAGACCCATCTTGCTCTGATTATTCTTTCTGTAGGAATCCCTCTAGCCTTACAAAGTGAAGTCACCTTATTGTCAATCCAGCTTTGCCATTCTTTTTGCACAGCTTGGAGAAACAGTTTCTTGTCGTGTGGATTGAGTTTGCGGAACTGGACTTCAACCCTTCTTTGCTTCGCCTTGGACTGCGGCGCAGCTTGCAAGCAATCTTCAAAAAGATTCCAGAGACACAGAGGATTTTCGGTGATGTCTTCGGGATGGACGTCAAAGGAAAGTTCGAACACATGTTCTGCCTGCTGCAATCTGGCTGTTACCGCTAGTTCGTCTTCACCAGCTTCTGGAACGGGAACATCTATGCCAGATGGTTCGATCTCGTGTGATCGTGAGTCTACTTCAGGCATTACTTCATCGGTATTATCGGGTCTATCAGATTCGGGCGGATTAGCGTCTGTCTCTGGTTCCAGGTGTGTAGGTACAGCACCTGGGTCAGGCATGAGCTCATCAAGCTCGTTGTGCATTTGAAAGCCTGACTGAGATCCCTCTTCTTCAAGAGGAACTGGCGGTTCGGTGGGTGCATAACTTGGAGATGAATCAATTTCAACAACCCTTCTACGCTTATCGGCTGGCTCAAGTCTATCCTCGGGGATCTCTTCAGGAGCAACAGCGGCAAATGGCTGCTGATTCAACTCATGTTCATGCATACTGCCGAGAGGTGGGATCTCGCCTCGTGATCTCTTTTGCCAGTATTCAGGGGAACGATAGAACCTACGTCTTATCTTATGTGGTCTACCCTCCGAATCTGGTCTGTCATCGATGGTCTCCGGATTAGGTTCGGCTTCTACATCTTCCTTGAGTTCGAAGTCCTCTGGGCCAGGGATGTCTTTTGTGAGATCATGAAAACGAGCGACGCCCTCCGACAATGATTTACCTGCAGCTTCCGTTTCCGGTGCCAGCTGGCCTAATGCAAGTTCTCTTGCAAGCGCTCGAAACTCAGTTTCGTCTTCGGACATTGGACGGAGGCCTTCTGGTCGACATCTATAGAGATAGCCATTATAGCTGGTCCAAACAAGGCGTGGTATGGGACTATTTGATGAACTTTCTACCCCAATTACTTTGGCAGGTCCTAACCACTTACCATGTCTTGTGCTAAGCTGACCTCTTCCTGCGGCTCGAAACATGTATACAAGTTGTCCTTGTACATATGGTCCTCGCATGGGACGATGTCTATAGGCTACAGCTCTTCGCCAAACATCCTTCGCATGTTCTTCATGAAAGGCCTTGGCCGCTTCTTCACGAAGGCGAATCTTGGACGCAAAAGACGGATCTGACAGGATTTGCGACTGGGCAGCAAAATTTCTTTGCTCATCCAAGTCGGCAAGCATTCCCACATGGCGTGAGTCCCTTCCAAAGAACCATGGTGCTGGGCTGAAACCATGCTTTCGAAGTTGTTCATTACGGGTTGTTGCACACATTTCTATTACCTCTTCTGGTGGACGGTCAGTGCCTGGCCAACAACGATTGGCCATGTTCCTGAGAATGCGATTGGCAATTTCAACTTGACCTAGCTGATAGTGTGCTTCGGCAGCCGCATGCAACAACTGAATGCCATGGTGTGTTGAATACTCTTGGAAATCCTGGGAGAGATTAGTCTTGGCAGGGTCCATGAATATTATCTTAGGAGTGCCGTAGGGACGTGCCCACACCTTATGGAAAGCTACTGACAGCTGATTGGGACCGCGTTCAACGATGATCTGTTGTGCGAAGCCGGTGGCCATATCAACACATGTCAACACGTTGAACTTGACTTCGGTCATTTTCCCATTAGGTCCCTCTCTTTTGAGTTCTACTTGAACAAAATCAATACCCACTATGTCATTCGGGTTCTCTGCATGGGGGATTGCACTCTTACGATATGACGGTGGAGGCTTGAGTTCATTACAAATGGGACACTGGAAGTTCCGAATGCAGTCCACAATTTCCTGACTGGCTTGACAACGGTTCGCGAGCCTCAACATTTGTTCTGTCGATGCATGACCTGTGTTCACATGCAATTTACGAACCAATGCGGACACTCGCAGCTGCTTGGGATTCAAACTTCGGCTGTTCGAATTTGGCTCGTCATGGTCTGGCAGTCTCTCTTGATGGATCTTCTATCTCTTCTTCTAGTTGATCTTCTTCTTCATCTTGAGCTAAGATCTCTACTGCATCTGGACCAGAATGTCCATGGAGACTTTTGGCAAGACCATCGGCCATGACACGTGCAAACTTATTAGGATATGTCTCGGCCCAGGATGTCAGATTTCTACCTTTGTAGTTTCCTTCTAGATGATCATGACCATGCTTATGATCGCACCGAAATGGGACAAGGTGCTGCATCAAAGACTCCTGAGTGCTGACAATCCGAGTTGGCTTCAAGACAGGGATGTTGGATTTGGGGCTACGGAGCCCGAGTGCACATTGGTCAATTCGGATTGACCAGGCTGGTCCAAGCACTAACTCCTGCCACATATCGGACGAGTACGGATTCTCAGCATGTGCATGACCTCCAAGGATGGTTTGGAGATGCCATGTTTCCGAAACACATTGCAGATGTCTTCTAGCTTGATGTCTCTTTTTCAATACTTCTTGTTTCCTAGACTCGGAAAATGCCATATTGAACCTCGACCATGGACCCCAGCATTTACATGGGGGAGCAAACCAAATGTGATCAGGCTTTGTCAAGGCTACCAGGTATAGGAGATTTCGTCTATCCCTCAACCTACCAAGATCCTGTCCATAATCTATCCCAATTTGGATTGCTGTTTTCTGGGTTCTCTTTTCGAACTGTTTGGACAGATTGGCTGTTCCTGTGAAAACTTCTATGAGTCCAACCTTGGAGTCGAGTTTACTAGCCTGGTTGCCCAACCAGTGGCGAAGTTCTGAAAGCACTTCCTGCCGATTGCTCTGCAGTCGCGACAAAGCCATGCGTACACCGACACGGCGTGCAGCTGTGATTGCGTCTTTCAGTTTCGTTTGGGTTTCTTTTGGAACATCCTGCAAGTCAAGATCTACCCAGTCAACCTCTTCATACAAAGTTTCGAGGGTGTTTGATTGCCTGGTGTATTCCCAATCCCCTTCTATGTCATCATTACAACAACAATCACATTGGTGCGCTGATGGCGTCGGCTCTGCTGGTTCGACACGATCGGACTCACTGCCGGCACTCTCAGGTTCAGAGGGTGCTTGCTCGGATCGAAATGCAAAGATCGCAACCTGCATTGGGTTGACAGGTCTTCTGACCCGTCCGGCTGGACGAACGATCCATCCTGACATGTGCATGTTTCCATCTTTATCCATAGAGACTACATTCATATCAAGTGAAGTTTGTTCGGCTTCGGCAGGAATCCTTTCTAGTCTAGGTTTATATGCTACATAGGCATGCACCACCTGGTGTTCGGGACATGAAAACAATTGGGACAGCTCGGCACGAAAAACACTGCAATCGACGTTTCCTCGTTTGGTATGTTTACAAACAGTTTGAAACGCCCTCCGGGTATCACACGGGGTTGGCTCCATTTTTGGTGCACTTAAAACACTGTTTTTGTTCGTGTCCTGTCCTCTGAGGTCTTGGTGGTGCTCGAGATCAACGGAGATGGACTGGCGGTCCATCGCTTGGGCTTCATGCGGATTGGGCTCATTTGTATTCGAGTCGTTGAGGACTGTCTCCCACTCAGCAACCTGTGGTACCAGAGACAACAGCAGATGGCCATTGGCGGCCTGTTTCAGGGGTACATCTTGCATACCATGTTTTGGACTCGTGATGGTCATTCGGCCCAAGTCCAGTGTGGCCTGCATACCCTCCAACACCCTTCGTGACAGCAGGAACGGCGCGCTTCCAGGAACAACATATGTTGTGATATTCCCTTTCAACGAACCCAACTGTACTGTCCACTTCAAACCAACAGCTGTTGTTTCGCTCTGACCATTGAAGCCACGAAGCTCAACTGTAGGCATTGTGACACGCACGGGTGGAGGACAATTGCATTGTCTGAAAACCTGCTCATATCTCTGTGCTGTTTCCTCGCCAACAACGGATGTTGTACAACCAGTATCAATGATTGCAAAACCCGATGGAATTGAGGCCAGGAGAATTTCCAGTTCAGCAGCGGTGGACTCGGTCAGGGCATAGTTGAACTCGGTCAATGTCCTGTCAACAAATTCCACAGCTTCTGTCAGGTTGGCGTCCTCACGCCTCGGTGGTTTCTTCTTTGGATCCTTTTGTGGCGACTTCTTGTCAAAGGACCTTTTCTCATAGCGTGGTGTTTTCGACGATGCAGCCTGAGTTCCCAGTGGAGCCTGGGATTGGCCGCCTTCGGTGGGTGGAATGGCCACCACCGGCATGTATGGTTGTCGTGCTCTTTTGATTTCCCTCACCTTCTTCTTGGACTCCTTGTAGGTGCGAAACTGTTTCTTGAATTCTTTCTTTGCTTTCTTCTGAATCTCATAGATCTCCTGCAGCTCTTCCTCCGAACCTGAACCCAGAGATGTTTCGCCGCCCTCAACTTGGTAGGCCTCTTCACCAGACCCGGAGTCAGAAAGTGGGTCGATGGAGGTGGATGAAGCTTCAGCAACTTGTTCAACAGCATAGGCTGCGCGTCGTGGTCTCACCTGTCGACGATCGTCCAGCCGTGGTCGCCGGTCATCCAATCTCTCCTCATAGTCACTAGCACGCAAAATCTTCTCAATGTCCACAAATCGACTGGAGCCGCCTGTTGAACGAATGATGACCTTTTTGAGTCCCAGTGGACTTCCCCTGAGAAGCCTTTGAGCTCGACTTCGCACTTCGGACCGATGGAGTGGATCCGGTCCGACGATGAGGATCAAGGGGAGGATCAAAAGGACCTGGAGGAGGTGCATTGGCTTCTGGCCGGACTTCATCTCCAACATCTTGTTCAGTTTCATCTGTTTGTTCATTGGGATCGTCTGGAGGTAGGGCATGTTCGTCCGACTCTTCCAAACTACTCGAATCTTCCTTGTTCTTTTCTTCTTCGACTGCGGACTTCGGTCGCTTCTTGGACAGCTGACGCTCCTGTGAGATGAGCGTTTCCAGGCGATGCAGACTCGTCTTGAACCGGGATGTGAAGGAAGTGGCTCCCTCATGTCCCTTCCGCTTCAACCCAAAAAGGAACTCATCTATGGCCTCATGGAGCTCGGTCTCGGGCAAATAGCGATAATGCTGATCAAGCGTCCGAACAATTTGTAGCCAGCCTTGTTCACATCGAAGGTCAGCAATTGGAATGTTTTCGGTCGCTTTCCAAGCTTCGCCAGACAATCTTCCGAGGACTCTAGGACCGGCCAGGTGTTGTTGTTTGTCCTCAAGGGATGCAACGCCAAGGATCAGCTTGCGTCTGAACTCACGATATCCGCTTGGCTTCCCGTCGAAGTAGAGGTCTTTGAGAGTGTCTTTGTAGTCCATGGCTCAAACTGCCAACACAAACAACTATGTTCCACAACCAACAATCAATGTTCAATGCTCAACAATCAACGTCAACAACCAACAATCAATGCTCAACGTCAACAACCAACAATCAATGCTCAACGTCAACTTTGCACCACTGCACAAGCAATGTACCTAGATGGCACGAGCTGCTCTGCGGTTTGCACCGCCCCCGGGATCAGGCCGGGACCTCACAAAGCAATCCTGGAGCTTGGCAGCTCCGCTACCATGTAAAATGGTGAGCGGAGGATCAACAGCAACTTGCAAAGGCAACTGTCACAACTCAACCAACGGGGATCAAAGAACTCCGTCACGATCAAAAGCAAGCGGTGCGCTCACTTTTCCATTGCGCAACCGTCGGGGGCTCGAATGAGCCTGACTCAAGGGCCCTTGTGCCAAAATGGTCACATGAGAGGGCCGCCATCTCATATCATGACATGCATGTTCCAATGCATACAAGTTCACACATATACAGCGCCTGGCTGGCCTGAAGCCAGACGACCGAGGCCCTCATGTCCTTCTACGAGCTGTACTCTGCCAACCTCCCGCTGCTCCTGCCCTCTGCTGAGTGGATGTACCGGTTGCTCTACATGCGGGGGCAGCTCTCTGTTGGGGAACGCCGCTTTGGCCGCGGCAAGGCGGTGGTGCAACGGTGGTGCAACGGTGGTGCTCTGGGTGAAACGACCGTTGGTCAGATGTCAGGTCTTCAAACACACGGACCTTTGCCGGGGAACTCCGAGCCCAGTAAAGTGGAAGAGAATGGCTACTTTTTTTACTGCACACGCCTTAGACATCTGTTTGTAGCAGCATTGCATCTAATTACTAATTACTCATGCGTTCGCTGTCGGTTTCCGAAATCTGGTCCCATTTCTGCCTCCTCATTAAAACAAGCAAGCAAAGGTTCAACCGTCTCCATGAACCAATTAGGTATGGGATCTGATTTCGGATTGCCGGGTTGGCTAACTGCCACCACCGCCGCTAGCGCTTTACAAAAACCAGCGGGGTACTCTTTCAGGATAGCAGTCTTCCAACCACCTTCGCTGTTCCTGCCTATGCTGACTTCCTGCGGGAGCGCTGTAGTCCTCGCACTCAAAAGAATCTGCTCAGCAGATTCATCGCAGTTTGCCAGCAGAAGACTTGTGGGTTTTGCTGACCTAGCGCCAAAGTGGCCTTGAAGGACCCTTTGCTGTGAGCACCTTGGGAACACCTGAGTGGTGTACGGATCAAGGCCGTACGCCAGATTGCAACTTCGTCTGGCCTCTCCTCATTCGGTGCTGGATGCTCGACAATGGCGGTAGCACCATTCACAAGTGCAACGCAGAACAGTCGCATGGTAACGCCTAAAAGCCTACTCCCAAAGCTGACCTGCACATCTTCTTGCAAGGTCAGGCATCGTCGACCAAAAGGCGATTCATTGGACCTGACAATGCGCGGCCCTGTTTCGCCGCTGGAGAGTTGCTTTCCCCTTGCCCTGCTCCACGTTTCGCAGGGCGGTCCTACAAGGAAACCGCAAACTATGCCTTGCTCAATTGCTTTTTTGAAACGGTCGAAAGTGTCGGGGTTGCATAAATCGCCAGCTTCGGCATGGTATATAATATCAATAGATATAGCTTGCATACCTAAGGCATCAAGGCACATCTGTAGATCATCTTGTCTTCGTCTTCCCGAGAAAAAATGTGCGAATAAAACGGGCCGATATTTTGGCAGCTTATAGCGCACAAAGGCGAATGCTGAGAGAATGGCTAAATGGAAGTGGAGAGAGAGAGAGAGAGGGAGAGAGAAAGAATATGCACATCCAGTGTTATAGTCATATTTCAATCTTGTGAGATGTACCACCATGAGCCCCAGACGCTGAAGCCATATCGGATATCGACGACATTCGAGTCACAGCGATGCGGGAGGTCCGCGGGAGCGTCCAGCACTCCCACAGGCCTCCTGCTCTCTGCTTTAGGCCCCGCCTGCTACGCTGAAAGCTGTTCCAACCAGGCTGGTATCAAGCCATCATGCCCAACCACGAGCCACCCTTCTGCGAGTTCGAGGACGGACGTCTGGGCGCTCGGACGAGCACGGCCCTTCCTGCCGCGGTCTGGGTCGGTGGATCTGAAGATGAAGGCTTCTGGGGGCCACCAGAGGTATTTTAACCTATGGGAGAATATGGCAGGATCCACTTCCAGCCCTAGCTGGGTAGACTGGTCTCTTTGGTCCCCCAAGCCCTGCAGGTCATTGCCTGGGACCCAGCTCTTCCGATGGTGAGCTGCGGTCTACCCACGAAGGGGGGGTAGACCCAGCAGCTCGGTTCTGTCCCCAACGGGGGGGCCATGTGATCCACTTCTACGATCTTCGAATGAAAGCTGCGCAGGGCTGGCGAGGAGGCTCAGTGGATGTGCAGCACCGGCGAGAATGGCGAATAAATTGTGACCAACTTGGCTATTTTAAGAGCTGAACGACCACAGAGGTGGTGAATCAAATGTCCATTCAATTTCAAGTCGAGCTGAACATGGCCATGTCCATCTGTAGGAAAACACCGTCGTACACATTTGGAGGCCACAGGGTCGCTCTTAGCCCATTTAAGATTGACAGCACGCGCTTTGAACCTTCTCTAACTTGAAATTGCTTCACAGGATAGCTCCACAGGACAATCTACTGGAACCTCTCTCTCTCTCTCTTTGTGTGGGCAGTTGAAGACCCCTACAATTCATTCCTCATTTCAGGTACGACGCTTGCATCGCTCTTGCCTCATGTTCATGCCTGACTGGAGCGAACGAAGGTGTTGACGTCGTTTGACCTGACCGGTTGGACCGCGCAGGACGCGGAGTCGGGCGCCGCGGAGTCGGGCGCCCCGACCCCTCAGTGGGGCCTCAGCGCGGCCAAGGCGGCGCGGAGCGCGGCCGCCGGGAGGGCTCAGCGGGGTGGAGCGGTGGAGCCGCGCGGTGGGCGGGTAGGGGAGTGGCTGAGAGTGGGAGTGGCTGGGCGAAGCGACCTTGGGAAGTGGTCTGGGAAAAAGTATTCTGGAAGATTCTGGAAGACTCTTGATTCATAAAGCCCACCCAATTTGGAGTACCATGTAACCCCCCAAGCCAATGGATTTTGGTTTATTTCCTTTCATCCATACATCGGTCCAGATGGGAGATCATGGAAGCTTTGAGACATACGATGGAAGAAATTCTCAGCTCTGAGAAGTACAAGAAGTCGTTGGAGATTCACCTCCGGTGCATGAGTTCTTGGAACGGTAGGCGACTTGAAATGAAGGGCGCCTGGGCAGCCAGATCTAAATTTCACAGGAAGATGTTCTATGTGGATCCTCCGTGCTGGATTTCATGACGCATTCTCATGGCTTGGATCGCCACATCACTTCTGAGGGATCTCCCAAAACCCTCCAAAAGCCCAAAGAACAGGAGGATCCGGCCAGAGCCCTGCGGTTTCTTTAAAACTTCCAGAACCTCCCACCAGAACCTCCGTCCGTTGACCGGCGCACGTGGCACGCGTTGTCCTCCCCTTCGGCAGCCCAGGTTCAGACTCTTCGGCGGATTGTCACCGCCCCGGACCTGGCGACGGCCCAAAGCATGGCTGAAGCCACGTTAGGACGGGGTGACCGGGGCGGGGCGACCGATCCAAGGGGCCCCCCTGGTGCTTTGGTCGTTGAAACGCTTCAATTCGTTGGCTTTTCCGAATGGGGCGATTGTTTGTGGAGGTCTTTTAGCCTCCCAACGGCCCATTGAGATCGTTTTTATAGCGCAAAAGCCTCACCTTCCACAACTTCACTGCCACAATGGCCTCTACAGTGCGCAAGTTCACTTCCTTCCACCATTCTAACAACTTCTCCAACATGGTCAGAAAAAAGTATTCGCCTACGAACACATCACGTGGAAGTGGAGTTGCCACCCTGTTGGTAACAAGGCTCGTCAGCCTTTGGGGGCCATGCCATCCATGCGATGTGGGTGTGCATTTGAATGGGGGGGCCCCGGGGCCAGACTCGACGATCTGTTCGACTTCGACGTCGGAACGCCTGGTGCCGGTCTCCCCCTTGGTGTTCGCCCCACACCCCCTTTTGGTCGCTGCGTCTCACGCAGGCACTCACCGCGTTCGGTCGCCCTCGCCCTCGCCCTCGCCCGGCAGCGAACGAAACCGCTTCGCAGCGCAGGACTGATGGAAGATCAGCCCTTTGGACGGGTTAGCAGTCGTGAAAGCACCACTATATGTATATATATACCAGGAGCCACAAAGGGGTGGTGTTTAGTCACCAAGTGAGTGGATGTTCTGGGCACGCCTGACCTCCATTAAGCACCCCTTTGTGACTGCTGGTATATATAGATATAGATATTATATTGTTTTAACATTCTGAATATATAAGAGAGAGAGAGGCCATAACTAGGTCCGATAGGGAGCTATGCATTGAAGGCCAGGATGTACAACAAAAACAGACTCTATGGCTTCATGGCAGTTGGTGGGGTCGCGCCCCGTTGATGGCTCATGTTTGGTCCAGCCATGGCTCTTGTTTTCCACCCCGCGGGGGCGTCCTGTCGTGCATCCGTGTTGGGTTGGGCGAACGATCCAAGGAAGTACTTTTTGATGGTGGCTGCCAATGAAACCGACCAGGACCTTTCCTTGTTGCACATTGGAATGTGTTCCGATGAAATCTGATATACATTTTTCGGCAGCTGTTCCGCTATTGGGAACTTTGCTATACACAACCTTCCCCTGTACGTATTGTTGTTGATCAATAAAACTCTCCTACCAGAGCGGTTTTACATCTCACTCCATATGTTCTTTTCAAATCAATCGGTCAACGTTAGCATCTTTGTGGCCGCCAACTCCGTGTGTCATTTTTTGCAGGATTCGGCCACCTCAATGGGGGTGGTGCGGCGCGCGCACCACGGAGATGGCAGTGCTCAGCCGAGCATGTCACGAGTGAAAGGAGGTGCCTGTGATGCTTGGCACACGTGTTCCCAAGTTTGATGGTTGAGGTGGTTGAGGCCTGTGAGATTCTGTTGGTGCTTGCCTGTTTCGGATGGCAAAAGCACTTTGGGATGACGCACTCCGACAAACACATCACATGGAAGTGGACCCCCCCTGTTCGTAAAGGAAAGTAGAATTCCACGGAGGCATTTTCCACTTCCATGTTAGTGACTGTTAGTGAGTCAGTCGGAGTGTATATATCCTACTGTACACGGTTCAGGACGAGGGGACTTGTTATTTTTTTAACCATTATAGGTTGCATTTGAGAACCCCTGACGTAGCAACAACCGATTTTTGCAACATGGCCATTTTCCCATGATGACGGACCTGGAATCGGGGGCATTCAGTACCCTTGCTCGGTCCAAATGCGACTGGCCCGGATGGAGGCCAACCATGGCATCCCTATACGCCCTTTCAGATGTCCACGCGTGACTCCAATGATTGGACGCGCATGCGCAAGGGAGGCACGGCGTAGGGGCCCAAGTTGGTGGTGAGCACGGCGGTGGGGGATGGCGTGCGGGTGAGTGTATTGGACCCCACACAGAGGCATACCTGGACCTTTACACAGAGTGTGCCTAAGGAAGATCCACGACTAAGGGGTGTGTCAGGTAGCCTGAATAAACCTCGTATGGAAGATGTTGACCCCCAAATATGCATCGCTCACCGAAGATGGCCGGGTCAATCTCAGTCATGAACGCTAGAGGTACAGGGCATCCCTCGCCCGCGACTGGAATATTAGCTTTTCCCTTTTGCACGTTTGGGTCCGTTTACCTTCTTTTGATTCATTTTTTTCCCAGGATCCCCTGACATATATTTATTTTTTTAGATACTTATTCTTGTTTTTTGTTGATCTCGTGCGTGCGAATCTGAGTTCGAGATGTGTGCGAAAGTGAGGCGCTTGGTCGCACCATCAAGCGGTTTGACACTGCAAAATTCTCCCAAATGATGTGGTGGTCTGATCTAATCAAGACTTCTCCATTGATGATATGACCGATGCAGCCCGGTCGCCGGTCACCCGCCAACGCCTGAGCTGGCTGCGCTAGGCTGGTGGCTGCGCCGGGGCTTTCGCTTTGACGCCATGCGCTACTGGCACCAGTTCTCGGACTTCGTGCCTTTGGAGGGCGTCCGGGGCCGCTGGGGCGGGGCCGATTTCCGGGTCCGATGTCCAGGTCCGTTGGTTCCGCGCTGTGGAGGTTGGTCAGCAGCTTTTGGAGAGCAGAAGTCATGAATCCATGGAAACATCGGCCAAAGAGGTCTGGATCCATTTTCCCAAGCCAACCAGACTGCGCCACTGGGAGAATGGATGATTTCCGATGTGAGGCACGCTTTCCTGGCCTGCAGTACTTCGTGCCTCGGACTGTGACGTGGGGAGTTTGCCGAGCACGGGATGACTGTTGATGTAGACCAGGACCTAGCCTCTTAGAGGTGTCTAGAAATAGCCTCTGAGTGGTGATTCGGGGTGTCCAAAAACCGGACTTGGAAGGTCGGACTGTTGATGTTGATAGAGTTCCCCACCCAAAAACGAGCTGGGCTGTAGCTATTAAGAATCAACAGTCTACAGTAACCGTTTGGTGCTTGCTGGGTCGCCAACCTCACCGTTTTTTTTCGAACCCAGCGACGTCGGCCACGGATGGGTCCCATGGGTTGAGAATGGGTGCAGAAACCAAACGCCAAGGTGTAGAGCTCGTGCTGGGATCAGATGATCAGGTAGCAAGTATACAAGCGGAATCAAGTGGATAGAAACGATTCGAAGAGTAGATTCCCACTCAAACATGCCGTGCCCACCATGTATTTGGGGATCTCTCTGCAGCCTGCTCTTGAAGTCCAAGCGAGCTGCTCGCAGCGAGCGACTGACTCGCTTGTTCCAAGCGAGTCGAGGCGTGCCCGCGCCACCGAGGCGAATATCCCTGAACTCCTGTGCCGTGCGCAGAGCATGGACATCCCATCCATCACGCAGGCGTCTTGGGCGATTTGTGGTTCACGAGTTGCCCCAATGAAATGTGTGCAAAAGACGGCTCGTGTGCAAAAGACCTGCACCAGATGGGCTTCCCAGTGCCACAGGAATGGAGTCAGCAGTTAAGCTGAAGGTCGTTTTCAGATTTTTCAGGTGGTTGACTTGCTGCTTGCGTGTCAATTTGTGTCCCCTTTTTTGAACATCAGACAGCTTGTACCCGTTGATGCCTGCTTGACAATGGCACCGATCTGAACAGACTGCGATAACAGAGCAGTCTGTTCAAGTGTGTTTCTTTTTCTTTTTTCGAGTCCTTGATTCCAGAACATCAAGTTCCGCTTTGAGCCATCAGTTCCCATCAAGAATCTTGATGGGAATGATTGCTCACAGTCACAGTGGAACTATGTTCTGTTTTGCTAGCTGTCATGGCCGACTGTTGCAGTCGCCTGGAAACTCAAACTTGTTGGCCAAAACTAGTTTCTTCCCGAATTGTGAAGATGCTGTTCGCTGCTGAAGATGGCGCCCACATTTCCAGTATGAAGATTGCATTTCCCCGGTCTTTGTACACTTGCCGTCATCATCCTTTGTCACAGGGTATAGTATAGGCAGGGTTGAAGCCTGACGAAGAATGACGCATATATATATAAACTATAACCTTCACTGCAAGCTAGCTACAGGGAACCTTTGTCCATCTCTATGAGCAGTGGCTTAACTTAAATTCAATTAGAATTAATTTAAAGTAGAATTAACAGAATTGGAATTAACATAAATTCGAGTTATTGTTGTCTTTTAAATGAATGAAATTAAACGTACATTTAGTTAAATTAGAATTAGCTTAAATTAGGATTAAACTAAATTAGAATTAAGTTAAACTAGAATTAAATTAGAATTATGTAAAGTAGAATTAAACTAAATTGGAATTAACTTAAATTAGATGTAATTAAATGAGAAGTAAAGTAAATTAAACATTAATCTAAATAAACAGAACACACATCAAATTAGAAGTAAATCAAATTAGAATTAAATTGAATTAGAAGTAAATTAAATTAGAATTGAACTAAATTAGATTCAATTAGAATTAACTTAAATTAGAATTGAAATAAATTAGGATCAAATTAGATTAGACTTAAATTAGATTAGAATTAAACTACATTATATAGAATTAAATTAGTGTACTCAACAAGTTCGCTTCTAGTAACAAGGGCATCGCTACGAGGGGCTCCTGGCATCGCTACTAGGAGCAAGGACGCTACTATGTGTGCGTTCTTGGTTTCGCGGAAAGAGTCATTCCTTGCTTCAACGGCGGGCGTCGACGAGTCGCGTTTCAAGCGTGGGTCTTGAATCGGTCCACTGCCATCGGAGCCACCAGGTCCGCCAGGTCTCACGTCGAAAGCCTCTCCTGTCGAACAGAGGTTGAAGGATCCGACGTCCTGTTCGACGATCCCAGATACGGGTCCTATAAGAGAGGTCACTTAACCTCTCTTGGCAGTTCTCACCAGAAGCTCTCCACCCTTCTGAAAACCCCCTCCACTCCCCACAGCCCATGCCCGGTCACCACGGCCGAGGCGATGCAGTCACACAACCAGGCGCCTGGTTGAGATCGATGGTCGTCACCAGGAGAAAGAGGAAGAACACGCCAGGAGTCACGTCAGACGGGGTGGTGTGGCTCGTCCCCTTACGTGAGTGGAGTAGCTGGGCACCCCGACTACCTCCGTGGATAGCACCCCCTTTGGTGACTGCAGGAGCACGTCTTGTTTTCATCATTGGCAACGAAGACATGGGTCCACCATGGTCGTGAGTTACCATTCATCGGAGACCCGGAGGATATTCCCTTCAACATGAGGGCGGTTCCCCGGAGCGTTTTCCTTGATCACATCCTTTTTCATATGCGGAGCTTTTTGCATTGAACCAGGCCATGTTTGTTTTCTTTGTGTGTTCGTTGGCCCTAAGTGGGGGGTTTGGGTCACGACCGTGCTTTCGCGCATGTTATTTTTTGGAATGAAGAAACTTCCGTGTCATGAATTCGATCTATTCTAATTCAGATCCAGTGTGAACAACACCTACACCTGGGGTTTTCTGTTTTGGGGAAGCTGGACATTCCACAGCTCATCCTCCTCCCATCAGACCTTTTCGGGAAGGCCACCTTCGCACACTCTGCAGCCTTCTGGGGGAATGCAGCGCTGGATCTACTTCGCTAGGGCGCAGCTACTGCGGTCAAAAGGCCCTGACCCTCGCGCGGCTCCAGGTTGGGGTCGGGCACATTTTTGTTAGAAGATATGGTAGCAATATGGTATATATATATATATGTATATGTGTAAATTTGTGGGTGTACGCATCAAACATAATTATATGATAATATGAATTGTTCCTTCTTCAATCTGAAAATTATATATTTTTTATCGTTTGTGTGTGAGACTGTTGGATCCTGTGCGGCTGAGCCGTCTAAATCGTGGGTTTTTCCTCGGGCAGGTATGATAGGGCACGCATGAGACAAGGGCCATGTAAGGCCTGATGCTGTGTGGAAATCAGCTGGCAAGCTAAAGGACAGAGGCGTTCTCCACAAGGATCAGAGACCGTGCCGTGCGCCGTGCGCCGTCCTGGCTTCAGTGAGAGAGTCTAGAGACTGCCGTTTCTTGCAACCAGCCTTCGGCATCCAGCGCATCGACAACATGTGGCTTGGCCAGTGGGAGCCGGAGAAGGTCCAACCTTGGAGGTCCGACAAAGACTCGGAAGACCTGGGTTTTGTGACCAAGCAATTGTTTCCATGCGGTGAGTTGCACAGAGGCTGTTGCAATCACCCGTGACGCACATGAATGAACATCCATTCAGGGGGGCCCTGTCCCATCCTGTCCCGTCCTGCGTCGGGCCCGAGGTTTGCCTGCTGCCTGGTGGGTGAAGAAGATGGCGCGGAAGGGGGGTGAAGGGGCGTGCGCCCGGTGCGAAGGGGGTGAAGGAGGTGCTCGATACGCTCGATGGCCAGTGGATGACATGACCGTACCATTCTTGCCCTGAATTTCTTGACCAATGGCCAACACTTCCTCGACTGGCTGCAGTCTTGATGGGTTTTGTTTAGAGAGTTAGATCACAGCCTCAACCGAGTGTTTTGAGCCACATCCTCCAGTGAGCAGCTCGCCTGGTAGAAGGAGATGGCCGGCACTCTCTTTTTGTCATTCCTGAGCGGTGTTTCCATCACAATATTTGTTTGTCTTCAAGATCAGTGACTAGAGAAGAGATGGGCTGTAAATGAAACCCTGGAGACCCCAACAGTTGTGGCAGCTAGACATGTTGCGGAGTGTCCGTAGTCCTTCAACAACATTCAACAACCACCTCCATTTAGTTCCAACTATTCTTCCTTTTGGGCCGCTGTTCCTCGGTCTTTCCCGGTGTTTTCGCGGCTCCAAGCGCCCGCCCCCGCGCGCCCAGCCAACGAGCTCTCGATTGCGCCGTCCCGTGGCCGGTCCGGCCGCCCGGGTGGGTGGCGTGTGGGTGGGGGTCGAGGAGCGGAGCGGACGACCAATGGGATACCCAACAAGACATACAGTGGTTTCAGAGGCTCGATGGCACAAACCGACCCCTACGTGTCCTTTAGATGGGGGTCCACTACTAAACCACCGACCTTGGGGTCTGTGCCATTGGTCCTCTCAATCCACTATACTACTGTAGTATCGTAGCGGACGAAGGTTCCTTGGGAATCGTTTCACTGAGGGCTCAACCTTGCCCCGCCTTGCCCCGCCTTGCCCCCTCCACATGTAGAACCGCCCAACCCATCTCGGGAGACTCCGACCGGCTGCGTCCAGCTGCTTTTTGCTGCACCCGAGGCGTGGTGGAGCAGCAGCAGCCACTTCGCGCAAGGTCCGAGTGAAGAAGGCGGCGCCGCCGCGTGTTTTCGGTGGCAGGTTTTTTCCCTTTCCGCGTGCTTCAAAGGCTTCGAGCTAGGAAAAAGAGGACGTTGCTTCCCCAAATCAATGTGGTTTTTGGGTGTGTCTATTGTGAATGTTTGGTCCAAGAAGCATGCGTTTTCGTAGATAGTAGATGATCGTAGGTGGAGGGAAGCACCTCACCACCCATACTGATCGACATGATCGACACGATCCTCCAACGTGATGAGGTCGACCCGATGTCAAGCCGAAGCTATTTTCGCCAGGGGTTTGGGGCACTCCCGGGGAGGTCTATGATGTGCAAGACACTTACCATACAGGTTGGATTTTCCCAAAACACCTCGCGAGGCGCCTGTGCTCCATGGCCAGCCCGCCCGTCTGCGTGCGTCCGGTGCAGGGAGTCCGTGCCGGTGGGACCAAGAAGAAGCTCGAGGATGGCACGGTGCGCCTTCCGCTTCTTCCGTCCGCTTCGTGGGTTTTTTGGCCGTGCAGGGGGCACCAGGGGCACCATGTTTTTCGTGCAGTGGGCAGGTGGAATTTGCGGCAACTGAGCCCATGTCCTGACATTGGCTCATCATTGATGACCACAAGACACAACGTATGAAGACCCTGCCGTTCTTCGTTTGGTGTCCTGCGACCTGGTTCCCCGTCGGTCGGAACCCTCCCCCGTATTCCAAGCGGCTTCCGCCCCGCACCAGAAGTGGGCACCGAAACTCCGCCAGTTCGACTGCCACCAGACACACTCCAACGATTGCACCACTTGAGCAGACCTTTTCTTTCGGAGCTGTGCGACCCATCGACCCGGTGGCCTGCCCCGTGGCTTCGTGGGTCGAGCCGACCGAACCGGCGGCCTTCTGCGGGCGAATGGCGCACCGCAGGTGGTGAACCCGGACGGAAGCAAGGTCCTTCCGGATGGGACGGTGGTGCCCGCCGATGCGGAGGAGCAGAGGATCCGCGAGGAGCGGATCGGCGGGGGCGTCGACGGAGGAGTCCGCAGCGCCATCACGGAGACGGCGGAGAGTGTTGGGGGCGGAGAAAACCGGAGGTAGAGGAGCTAGTGATGGTGTGTGTGCTGTGAGAGTTTCCACAGGGCCACAGGGTGGTCACGAGGTGGAAGAGAGTCCCCAATTGATGTTATTCGATTAGCACTCTTTGGGGATCAGTATAGATCAATCCATCAGGGTCCATCAGTCCACCCTCTTCAGAGTCCATTTGATGTTATTTATTTGCCCAATGTTTTTTTGCCATGTGGAAGTGAGCTGGTGTGCGCAGGAGAAGCGCCGAGAACAGGAGAAGCTGGAGGCGGAGGCTGAGGCCAAGAGGAAAGCTGCTGAAGAGGAGATCGTGGATTTTTGGGAATGGGTGGAAGTTCATCGGTGGGTCACAGCCGGGTGTGTAGTTTGGGAGCCTCACTCGAGTGAGTTCAATGACTAAAGAGACTTGGTGTTTGAGTGATACGAGATGTTTGAGGGCTTTGGCTGATGTTCTCGCAGCGGCTTAGGAAGGTGAGAGATCACTTGGATTCACTTGGGCTAGAGTGCCAACGAGCACGGCAGTCGACCTGTTCTTCTCCTCCCAAGACGACCTGCAGGGCCCCTGCATCCGTCCTAGACGCCGGCGTTTGAGAACCGGTCAGGAGCACAAGCGTAAGGTGCAGGAGGCGCATGAAAAGGCGGAGCGCGAGGCCGCAGAGCGTAAGAAGGCCCGGGCTGGGGCTCAGGTTGGGATCAGGAGCTGGTTCTACTTACATTAATGAATACATGTTGAGATCTCGGATGATTTCGGTGGGTATTGCCATCATCAAGCAGCGGGGTGGACTATGATCGCTGTTGTGACGAGTTGGTAGGGGGGGCATGAGGCATGTCAGCGGAAAAAAATAGTGACACACACACACACGCGCACCCATCTTCTATTGAGTCTCAGAGGACTCAATGCTGTCGGCTGAACATTGTATATAATGAGAGATCGACAGTATGAGCATGTATGAGAGATGTGCTCATACAAGCAGAGGGCCTGTTTCAATATCTTTCAATCAACATTTTTTTTTGGTATTTTTCACTATTTCTCGAACCTTTTGGGACGCTTTTGGCTCGCTTTTGTCAAGGCCCTTGAGGACGAGCTGGCCACGAAAGCATTGCCTCCGGGCTGAGATTGGTGGATTGGGACTGGGTCAGGTTGGCGGTTGGTCAAGTGGAATTGAGGAGTCAAGTTGTTTTTGCTCGGAGCTCCTCTTCCTTTTGTTGACCGAAGACGGACGTGGTCTTTGTGCGAAGTTCTTGGCTCTTGGTGTGATTGTAACAGGAACATCTTCCCGAAGAATTGAAGATCAGCAGTCACAAAGGGGTGGTGTTTTGTCCCTAAGTGAGTGGATAATTGGGCACCCCTAACCTCCATTAAGCACCCCTTTGTGACTGCTGGTAGGGTTCCGTCTGTTCTCAGCTTTGAGCCTGTCATTGGATTCCACGAAGAGCGACACGCAGCCCGCTGCGATCGATGGACACGAAGGGCGGCCAGCTGGGATCGGTTCAAACCACTCCCGCGTCCGGACTTCGCCACCGAGAAGGGAGAACATTCCAAGTTGGGCGCCTGTCGCACCCAACGGGCTGAGGACATAGGTGATCCTGAACCATGCAGAGAGGGGAGTATTGCGCACCCAACTTCGCCGTGGCTGGCACCCAAAGGGCCCACAAACTCCAGCCACAGCTGGTAAGCAACCACAGATGTCCTCTTTCCGTTTCCTGCTCGTGGTCCATGTTCCAAGCTCACCTGAAGGGTGCATTACCTCATACTGCAATTCCTCCAACAATGGTGGTTGACAGGTTGATAGTTTCTTGCTGGCAGTCATCGTGAACATTTGTATTGTAGTTGTAGATGCGGGTTCCCCTTGAGCTCTCCTTGAAGGGGACTCTCCCTTGGCCCCATGCCAGGAGTTGGGGGGCCGCGGCAAAGCCACTCCCGGCTTTACCTACGAAAAGCACCTCAAAATGAAAGCGGAACCGTAAACCTTCTCATGGCTTGTGTCTTGCAAGGGCCGGCTCCCAATTCTTGAGAGCCTACACGCCTAGTTGCGCCAGCGCAAGGTCCGTCACGACCTTGACGCTGAGTGATCTATTGACTCTCCTCCAGCCAGAGAGAGAGAGAGAGAGAGAGAGGGAGAGAGAGAGAGAGAGAAGACACAAAGGGGCTTTACAATAACTACATAGTAATACTGAGAGCGATGGCCTCACCTCAGAGCTATGGCCCGAATTTCATTAGAAACGGGTTTCACAACGTTTCCAGACTCGAGACCATTAGCGACGATTCTCTGTTGTGGGTCTCCTTGCGCTGGCATCCTTCCATGTCTCCT